AAATTATTTATAGCAATAATACCTTGTAAAAAAGTTAATATAAAAAGGAGAAATTATTTAATGGATGCTATGTTTGATAAAATGCAAATGGACTATGTAGGAGAGCTCACAAAATCATTTCCCTTCAAATTTTCGACCACAAGCCTTGGTTTATCTGTTCATAAAGTTCATTTACACTTTATACAAGATGTAATGCTTCCAGATGATTTAACAAATGTAAATGATGAATATCCTAGTGTCAGAGCAAGATATGATTTGACTAACACTACGTTATGCGCTTCTGCAGACCTTGTTATAGACAAGGTTTTAATGAACGGCCTTGTAAAATTTCAAAATAAAAATTTTGGTAGTAATGAAAAATTAAAAAGTTTTGAACGACCTTTAAAACTTGTCGAATCTGGTGCTAATTTAGATGTTAATTCACTAAGATTAAATGTACGTTTTGTTACTGGGTCAAATTCCATTGGTATTTTTGGAATTCCAGAGAATATACATCAATTCAAAGAACCTGGATTTCTTTCATCTGAACAGTTAAATAACGGTCCTGTTGTCTTAAATATTTCGTTAGAAAAACTTAAATTAAAATGGACCGGTTGCATGAAATCCAATAATTTTTCAATTGATTTGGAGAATGTTTTTAGTTGTTTTATTAATCAATCGCCTGAAATTTTAACTGGAGCTATATACTGGTGGCTTGTATTTGCTGAGGATCTTTCAAGTTTATTGAAGAAATTTGAGTCACATCGAATTCGGCAAATGCAATTATTAGTTCATGAAATTGCAAAATACTCTAAAGAAGTAACTAGTGATCCACAATACTTAGCAACACCTTCTCACGTGCTTCGATTAAGCGCGAAAAATCTAAAAAATGATGATGGATGGAAAATACTTGGTCGTCTCAGATATGTTAAGAAGCAAATGAATTTAGATCAACTTGAAAAATTGCAAGGAATTTTGAATTCTTCTGATTATCCATCTGTGAATCAAAATGATATGTATGAGCAGGTGGTACATGTTTTCTCACTGTGGAGGCATTGGGAAATGGATAATTTGTCAACTTGTCGACTTTTTACTGATCTTTTCCAGCAACCAACAAAGGATTCAAGTTCATTGAATGACTCTGTTGAAATTATTTTCCAATTAGTAAAGGCATCATTTAATCGTTTCAAATTAAGAGTTGGAAATGTTGCAGTGTCAGTATGGGAATCACAACGCGAAAATTCTATAGTCTTAGGGCCCATAGTGCTCGATTGTGAGACCACATACCACGAAGATAGTTTATCATCTTTCGAAGCTATTCGATCAAACACAGAACCTGGATCATTTAGTACAACTTCAGGGCAATCACAAGTTTTAAATCCAATATCTGCTGGAGATTTGAATATTGTTCTTCGATTTGGCGTGGAACAGATTGGTATAGATGTGAATCCGGATATGCTAGCTTTTGCAAAACATTGGCTTAAGGTGCATCGAACCTTCAGATCCAAATTTGAATCTTTGTCAAGTAAGGAACAACCATCGACTTCGATTGAAGGTATCGCTTCTTCGTCAAATGTTCATAAGCATAAGAAATCTGGATCAGTTGCTAGTATGAACGAAATAAAGCTTGTCAAGCTTAACGATGGGAAACCAAAAGATACACTTCAAGTTAAAGATTTATTATCGCGACTAAATATCTATATTCAAGGGATAATGATCATTAGGAAAATTTCATTAACGGCTTCTGCCCAAAAATTAATCGCATGTACCCAATTAAGCAATATTAGTATTTCAGTTTGGTTACATAATCCAAAAGCTTTGAGTCCTTCTGAAAAGTCAGAACTGGAAAGTATGTCAGTTAACAAAAGCACCGCACATCCAGGATCGAAAGCAAGTGGCGGTAAAGGTTCAAAAAGTTTGATATTTTCAGTTGTTGGAGGAATCAAAAATATTTCAATCAATATTATAGAAAAGGCATCCAGTTCTTCTAGCCAAAATACTTTATTATCTATTGAATTTACGCGTGTAGATTCTAGTATAGCTCTCAGTTCCCCAGCTCTTGGTCGTCCAAAGAGCAAAATAGATGTAGAATTACTTAAAGTACTAAACATTTTTTTGACGCTTCAATCAATTTCTATCAAATTACCACAAAGTCTTCTCAAACTTTATCACTTTGTTGAAGAATGGCGAGAGGAAAATTTACCTAGTTATGACTTTTTATATAAAAACTTAAAAGATGAACTTGAAGAACAACGAAAAATACTTAGACCTCCAACACCACATAATATTCGTTTTGCTGAAAAGAATGAGAAAAAAAATATTTTTGATATTAAATTTCAATTTTTGCTGAAAAAAGTTGTTTTACAAACTCATTTGCTTCCATCTTTGCGATTTCATTATGATGCGTGGGATTTTCTCATGATTTTGGAACAGAAAAATTCCCCATTTGGTGGAAATTTGATAAAATATTTTGGTCAATTGGCAAAACAAGAGATTCACTTTGTGACTCGTCAAAAAAATCAGAATAAATCAAGTCAAAATGAAAAGCCCATTCTGGAGGAACAAGATGATCAATTACAAAAAAGTATATTTACTATACCAGCTATAAGAGCAACTGGAAAAATAAAACCGTTTGAACCTAATAAAACCACTAGCATAATCATCAAAAAGAACACTAGTCCTGTTGGATCCACGTCTAATATATCGTTGGGGTCCACATCGAGTATTATTCCAAAACATTTAAAGTTGGAGTCAACAGTTACTTTAGATTTTGTGCAATTGAGTTTAAACGTGAATATAATTGACAATTTATTAACAGCACAATCACTCCTTGGAAATGAGTTTAATGATGTTCTAGATGTCTTTGTTTTTTCGTCAAAAAAACTAAAGGCACGTGGGGTTGCCTCCAAAGACAAGAGTTCCTCTTCAGTACAAATGGATCCACATAAACAAGACAAATTATACTATAATCTCAAAATATCTCTTCGAGGCTTAAGAATATCAGCTGAGAGTCCTACCGCAGTTGGATTGTTTGAGACAAACATTCTAAATGGACATATTACTAACATACCTATGCCCGAAGATATCAAATCAACGAAGATTGAATGGTTTTTCTCAGCGCAAAAATTCTCGCTTTCGCTTAATCATAATACTAGAATTGGAGGACAGTCAACTACAAATGATGATATTAGGAAACATCGGATAGCATATATTATAATTGATTTAACATTGCAAAATTCTAAGAATAAACAACTGTTGCAAAATCCAACATTAGAAGACTCTTTGGACATTACAGAATCATACTTTCTAAAATTAACTAAAGCACATGCTGTAATGCAGCCTGTTGCATTGGGTCGTCTTATGGACGTATATGCGTATTACAGTGGAGAATTAGAACGTAGAAAAGAACTGAAATCATCAGAAATTAATAAACTGACTGAAAGTACACGAAAATTGTGGAAATCATTCAATATAGAAATGCCAAAATATAAATCAAAGAGTAAAACTTTATTGGATGAGAAAGTGTTATCGCTTGAAATTATGAAATTTGCGGTAGCACTTCCATTAGATTTAAGTGAGAATGTTATTTCTACAACAATGAACAATTCTTCAGGTGAATCATCACTAGTATCAGCATTTATCTTTTCCGCATCTTCAATGAATTTCATAACAAGAAAATGGAAATCTAATCATGCAACACTTAAAGATTTATGGTTTCAATTTGTAACGGAATTTGATCAAAGGAAGGAAGAACTCTCTTCTTCTTATTTCCATTCTAAAATGAATCGAGTTTATTTTCCAGAAATTTCATGTGAAGGATATAGTTCCGGTACTATGTACAAGAAAAAATTTGACATTCAGTCCCGAGTTGAAGGGTTTGAAATGGACGTTGGAAGTAATATTGTCAAACATATAAATTGCCTTAGTGAGATTTACGCTGCAAGCCGAGAGCGATTAGAAACATTTGCAGCAGAGGCAAATTTGAATTCGGGATCTGAACAAAAGTCAGTAAATGTCGATAGTAATAACAATTTACAAAAGGATACAAAAGTGATTGATTTAGAATTTGAGGTCGCATTTACTGCCAAGAGTGGTACAATAAAATTATATCCGAAAAGTTATTTTTCCAGAAATCACAGTAGAAAACCTACTGGAAGCAAAGTATCTGACAAGTCAAGATCAATTAGGGAGTCTCGTGGCAGCACCGCTTCACTTCCAAGGTTAAATATAGATTCCATTAATCTTGATGATGTAACAAAACATGAACATGGAATAGATACTATTATTATACCCGGCCTCAGCATAAATACGATATACAGAACATTCTTGAGTGAAAATATAATTCATTTTAACAAAAATGGTTCTTTAACAAGGCGTTTACATGTTGAGCTTGTAATTCATCCAAGTTCAAATATACTGTTTCCTTCCTTGGTGCCATTTTTCAAGGACATTATTGACGGTCTCAAAATAGGAGTTCAGCAATCTAGTGACAAAAGAGCTATTGCAGTTAAAGAAAGTGCATCACCGATTCAGGGCATAAATATAACATTTCATTTAAGACTTTTACATACCAATTTTGAGTTAAGTTGTAAACCTATATCCAAAGTCTTTTGTTGCTTTAATTGGGAAGAAGGAAACTTTCTTATATCCTCAAACAGTGCAGAAGAAGGTAGTCAGAGTGTTACATGTGTTGGTAAAATAAGTGGTGCTTCAGGAAATATTCGACATGCTTTCTCACCCGAAGACTGTGTAAAAGCTGAAATAAAAGATATCTCCTTTAATGCAACAATGATGAGCAGGCGAAGTGAGAGCGTTTCTGATGACTCTATATCAATTATAGCGGAACTTCCTCAAATTACCGCAGATTTAAACATTCGTTATTTGCAGGATCTGCTAGTTCTCAAGATCATATGGTTGGATCAAGCTGCAAAATTATACGAAGGAATTCCCCAAAATTCACAGCATTTATCTCAACGTATTAGTGGGGATGTAACGAATATTAAAAGGCAGCATTCACCTTCACCATCTCAAGAAGAAGAACCAAAAGTCAAACCATATTCATTTTATGATTTTGTAAAATTGGATAGACTGGATTTATCCAGTGATCTAGGTCAAGCAATCGGAAAGGTTCTGTTCAATACTCAAAATATTCAAGTTCGTACAAAGAATATACCGGGAGTTCAAAAAGGACTTATTGCGTCCACAGACGTCCTTAATGTTAAATGTGAAGGACGTCTTATTGGATCAGCAAGCATTGCAGGACTTAGTTTTTCCACTGTACTTGGAGTGCCACCACACTCAGAAGAGGATAGTCAAACTTGCGTAACAAATTTGGTATTTAAATCAAAGAGAATTCAATCAACATTTGAATATGAGTTTCAAAAAATCATAGTGCTAGATCTTGACCCGATGCAATTCAAGCTTACAGATAGTTGGGAAATAGTATCGCCGGAAAATGCATCTGTATTAGTACACGCAGATATATCATTACAACAAATTCAAGCAATTGCTACCATAAAAACAATACCTACAATTCTTCACATGATAAACAAACTTTTAGCATTAGTTGAAGAAAAACAATCATCTGCTGCTAGTGCAATTTTAGATTCTAAATTTAATAGTTCAAATAGTTCAAATACCGATACTTTGCCACATGATTCAGGTTCTGATAAATTATCACGAAAAAAAACAGATATAATAATGACTTTCAAAGAGGTATTGGTTAGAGGTGTAACAGTTCACCCTATTGGAAAGATTACGATTGCAATGGATAAAGCATATTTTACAATATATCCAAATAACTTTTATGATTTGGATTGTTTGCAGACGAAATTTGATGGCCTTTTTTTGGATATGAATAAGTCCATTAAAGATGAACAAGTTCATCGAGAACTTAATGTGCGCCTCAATAGCATTGCATTATTAAAAAGTTTGTGCAAAAAGCTCAAACTCAAGGATGATAATGAACTTACGCTTCAGAAATGGTTTGAACATGTTGAGGCAGCATCTTCGAAGAATATATTTACTCTTCCTAATACAAATTTAATTATGGACACTACACAAAGGGTGGGAAGTAACACTGTTGATCATAAATTTGAAGTACATTTTGGAGGAAAAGTAGACATTGCATTAAATTTTGGATTAATCAGATATCTTCAAGAATTGTCAGCTTTATATAAAGAACTAATGAAAAAGAATAGTACAGAAGTTCCAAAATCACCTAACACACCTGGTACGTCATCTAACACAGGAAATCAGCTACAATCTCCAGCAATAACACAATCAGCACCTACTACAGAATTACCAGTGTCGGATAACGAAGATTTACAAGAAGCTAAGAAGAAGGATATAATAATATATAATCCAATAGAAGCAGTAAAATTAGAGCCACAATTGCGTTATCTAGGAGATGCTACTCCACCTTTGGAATGGGTTGGTTTGCAAAGAGCAAAAGTACCTGGCTTTGTCCATACCACTATTACAATGAATTTAGATGAAATTATAAATCATATTACTAATAAATCATTTAAAGCAGCACAGGCTTTATTATAATATTTTGTATAACATACTATATCTATATATTTAAATAAGTTTAATTTAATTGTAATATGGTTATTTGTAACAATTTAATACAGCCAATAAAAATCCCTTCTAGCATAATCAAATAAAAATGACAGAGATTTAAAACTAAACTATAGGAATATTTTCCAAATGGGATTTATAAAAAACATTTACAATTTGATATGTCTTTAGAGTGCCAAATTTGATTAAGGGTTTTCTCAAGCATCCACATAGATGCGATTTCATAGTGATCGAAATAGTGCACAATTTTATCTTGACAATTTATCACAATGATAGATGTAATTTATTTAACTATCGTTACGTCAATCGCTTAAACATTTATTGCAGTATCGAATTTTAAAATTAACTTAAGCCGTTATAAACTTTATCGATTGCTATGCTATCAAATTTAGAATCAACTTAAGTTGCTTTTAAATTTCGTACCATGAGTGGATTCTAAATCTACAATAATTCCGTTTTGACGCACAAAATATTTATAAGGAGTTAAAAAATATTAAAAAAAAAATATTTCCAATAAAAAATGTCAATAAAATCACGTTTATTAAAATAAATTACCCAAATAATAAAAAAACCGTATTGATATCATTTTCGTTTTACTCTTCCACGCATTTCTATTGGGCTAGCTATACATCGGCCGGGCCGACCCACAAAGGTACGGGTCGACTCTCGGTCCGCCCTCCGCCCGACCGATGGGCCGGGGTCGGCCCGTATCACTAGATAAATCGCAAATACTGTCAATACATTTAAAGCTTTAAGAGTCCCTATGTACTAGGAAGATATATAATAAAGGTCTTGCGCCCTAAAGAATATCAAAAAAAAAAAAAAGGTTAATCCATAAATCATTGATACTTCATAACTAAATTACTTCGTTACCCTTCCCCCACAGTCTCTAAATAAACTACCCTGGTCCACTACTAAGTGCATAGTGGTACGATCGTTCGTTGTATTTCCTACTCAAGTGATATATTGTTACGCTGTCCGGCTGTTTTCTTACTGTTTTCCAGTGTCCTAACGTACCGTGGATAACTGTGGTTATTGTTATTGTTGATAAGGAATACCCCCAAAGTGTTGACAACCGAAGCCTTGAATTATCCACTCGCCAAATATACACGATAAGGTTGTCTGGATTGATTTGTAGTGAGTGTCTCGGAAGAGCCCATATCGGTCTGACATTATCAAATCGGTAAATATTCGGTCGAATACCTCATGTTAATAAGTAATTTCTATAAGCGATAGTGCGTATTATTTATTTTCACGTATTACTGTAACACTAATACATATACCTTATAAGTTTGCTCTTGGGGCTAATTGTGCCGATATTGTGAAAGCTCACCCATAAAATAGTAACAATATTTGGAACTATTAATATATCACGTGCATTCAATGTTTTTCGGAGTCAAAATAAGATTTATGTATATTATATCGATACGCTTTTTCCAAAATAATCAGACAGAAATTCAAATTTGGAATATATCGATATAGCATAGCCACTTAGCGGTGCAAAGTTTATACGTACGTGCGTGGTCAGTTTATGGTCAGTTTATGGCTAGGTGTTATATTGAACATAAATAAGTTGGGCCATGTTGTGATTATCTGATTGGCAGATGTAACAACCGTTTGTTTTAATTATACTGTATAAAAATATATAGAAAAATAGAAGACATGCTTAAATTTTATGCGCATTATGTATAGAATAAACAATCTAATAGCCTCAAATGGCTGTGAGAAAACATGTATAAAATGATGTTCTTTGCGAAAACTTTTTTTGCATTAGAAACACTGAAGGTATAATTAAGTTGCTATTTTAATTAAAATGAGTGAACAAGAACATCTTGAGGAGAGTGTTATTTCCGTTGATGCAGTCAATCCACATAATGGTAAGAAAATAATTGGAATAACATGTTCCCCAAATATGAAATATATTGCAACTTGGAGTAAGGAAGATAATTCAATTTTTGGATGGGAAGTCGTAGAAGGATGCCTCAATGCTGATACATATTCAATTATTGATGATGACCTTAAAGACCTTAAATTAAATGTTTTATATTGGTCTAATCCAATAATTGGCGTCTCAGATTGTAAATATATTATTTTATGGGTTGATAGAGATAATCCGTATGATTTTGGTAAGTTTTTGATTTTTTTCATTTAATTGATAATTGTCTGGTCATTTGATCAAAATTTAAATGACCCAAGTCATCAAATAAGGACCAGGTCATTTGGGTCATTTGCATATAAAGTAATTTTATTGGTTGAATTGCATATATAAAAAGTTATCGAACTTATTGCTTTTCTAATCGATAATCGTAGCTATATAATAAAATTAAAATTCTACTAAGTCAATTAATATTTATGCCTTAAGTTAAGTTGCTAAAAATTTCATGTAAATAGAACACCTTTTTATTAATTTACTTTCGCATATTACGTTTACACGAAAAAAATTGAAATTTTTCATATAAATGTAAGGTGCGGAAGTGAATTAATCAAAAGTTATTCAATTTATATAAAAATTTCAGAACATATTTGATTAAGTAAAATTTTGATTTTGATATATAGCTACGATGTTGATTATATTTTTATAAAATTTAATTTTGCTTGACGGCCAATTCTGATTGGTTAAAAGGTATTAGAATATTAATTAACATATGTATTAACTAACATATGTTAAATGACCTTCTAAGGTCATTTTGGCCTTGAAATGACAAATGACTAGTCATTTGTCATTTCAGGTCATTTACCATCCCTGTTGTCAGGCAACTAGCGAGTTTAATATTATTTCTTTTCTGGGAGAGCTTGAAAATTACTAGAGATTCCCGACGATAATAGGATTCAGATGGCCAACATTGAATGATCATCGGGAATCCTCTCCGTTGTAAATTTAAACTTTTCACTGTAAATCAATGAATAATATCCTGCCTTACTGTTCATGTCTACCTTGTCCCACACGATCTTACGTGACTGAGAACCTTTATGCATAGATTCCCGCTCATGATATCATCGACAAATAATAAAGCAGAGTATTATTTTAAAAATATCGGGGATGATGCTAATTTGGATGATCGTGAAAGTAACGCACTTGATTGATTAGGTTTTTAGATTTCACAATTTCAGTTCAGCATCATCAGACAAAAATAAAAATAGAAAATGGTGAAATTTAAGTTGGCACTCTTTCTTTACTAAGTAAACACCTTTTTGTTCTAATAAAATTATTGAGGCAATACATATGATTCTAATGGTGATAAATCATCAAAATCAGCCTAAAAATATTTTCAATAATGTTAATTTCTTTGCAAATTTGCGAGACATTTAGTAAACTAATGAACTGGTTTTAATAATTTACCATCATTCGAATTGCAAACTTTTATTTAAAGGGTTACTTAGTATGTAAATGAATGTTTGTTAAATTTTAAAATTAGAATACAAAACTCAAATGTTACTTATTTATTTGCGCTAATAGAAATTATTGATATTAAAACAAAATCAAGACAAATATTGAAAGCACAAGGTCTAAGTGGAAGGATAATAAACCATCCTGTGCATAATACTGGTCATGTCTCTCATCAATCTATTACTTTTCTTATGGATGGAAATCTAGCAATTGTAAAAGGGGAGCCTGTTTATCGTGTCTATATTTTTTCAAAATCTAAGCTTGATAGTGAAAAAAGATGGATATGCATGAAGAGTATAGAACTTATAAAATTTGATCAATGTTTTATTCTTCCAAAAGGAAAGTTGTTAAGCATCTTAAACATACCCTTTGTAATTGCGCAATGGGATTTAGCAACTCTGAAAATTGAAGCGAAATATGTTTTAGATTTGAATCTATATAAAAATCGTAGTGAGATAAAATTAAATTTGAATAGTAGTAATACTTTGTTGGCAATTATTGGACGTGCAAGTTGTGAAAGTCGTACAATTAAATATGATCCAAACTCAGTAATTGTACGTCCAGAAAAATTGACCGTGTATGTTTATTCAACTGAATTTCACGAGATGATAGCAAAATGCAAGTATTTACGTGTCATGACAACTTGTCAATTTTTTATTATTATACTTTATTAAATTAATATTGATTTCATCTTTTCATTTAATAAAATGCAGTTGATAACTTTCAGCACGATGCTGTTTCTTATAGTATCAAATTTATCGGGCCAGTGGACAATGAACTCTTGCTTATCGATTACTATCAATATTCAGTAGGCACCCATTATTATTATATAATGAATCAATATACCCTTGTCAATATCATTGATGTAAAGGATTCATTTCAAATGATGAGTACTGATGAATATGAATTTTATAATGTTATTGAGTCTGATTACCTCGTAGGAATCCACGACAAATTTATTAAAACATTGTCTCAAACTGAAGAATGGATTGACAATATTCAAAAGAAATCTGAGCTTGAAAAAAAGTATAATAAGATTCCTGCATATTTCATTGGAACAGATATAAAGCAAACAATACTGGATACTTTAGAGGAGTACAAGTCAAATCCAGATTTAACTCAAGATTTTCCAAAATCATATGACGGAAGTGTTCGAACTTTAGATGGAGATCTATACTCTTGGTCTTTTTACCATAATAATGCAGACCAATGGGGTTATCATACCGTGTCCCTCTCAGTTAAGAAATATAATCAAGAGACTAATGAATGGAATCAGATTGGAGAAACAAAAAAATTAAATATATTAAAAGACATTGATTCCAAATATTTTATAGATTTCAAACTGCTCAAAAATGAAGATCTGATCATTTACACATCAAATGGTGTTTATATTTGGACAGTAAATTCTGAAGGAAAGATCAGTTTATTATATTATTGGTTTGATCGCAAAACCTCTGAGACTTCTAAAACATCACGTGAAGTCATCATTAAATTATTTGTTTCTCTTGAAAATAAATTTGAATCGTCCAAAGGCCTATTGCCCGCCCCAAATTTTGATATTTTTGAAATATTAAATAAATACATTTATTGGAATTCACTACCTTATTATTACTATGAAGATTTATTAAAAGATTATATGAAAAATATATATTTTTTAAAATTTTATGGAGGCGATCTAATGCTCAAACTTATTCAGGAAAGAAAGACTGTATACATTAAGGAGACTTTTGACTATTTTCTTAAAACTGGTCTATTACAACTTAAGAATGGTGATATGGATACATTTATTAAGCTAATGAAGGCAATTTCGTTAGCGCTTTTAGATTTAGAATCATATAGTGAAAGCTATGGGTTTAATGAACGATTTTTATCTTATACAGCATTATTAGTTGCCAATGATTATACAAGTTGGATAGATAATGATTCTCTTTCATCTCATCTTGATTACTGTGAAAATGCTTATCATTTACCTCATTCATCGTTATATGAAACTTCTTTTTTCGATGTCGTATCATTCTGGATTTCTGATAAATGGAAAATTTTCAAAGAGAAACATTTTTTAATTTATAAGATTTTATGTTTTCCTTATTTAGTTTATGCGTCTTATTTTACTTCGAAATCTAGTACAACGAATGTTAAGCTAATTATTCCAGCAATAAATTTTGCCACTTACTCTGAAGAATATTCCACAATCAAAGAATTGATATTCCCACCCAAAATTCCGTTTAATTCTTTAAATTCTTCTGAATATTACAAATGGTGGAATATTAAAGTTCTTATTAAGTTCAAATGGAATACTTATGGAAGAAAATATTATTTTCTGATGTGGGCAATTTATTCGATTTATTTAATCTGTTTTACTATGGCTGTAACAATTCCACAAAGTGAAATTCCCCAAAATGTTCAGTATACTCTCTTAGCAGTTACTGTAGCTTTTGGATTTTTTCATTTATCTATTGAGTTACGTCAACTAATTTATGATTTAACAGAATATATCGCTAATCCTTGGAACTGGTTTGGTAAGTGTAATATAAATTTTGTATAAATTTATAAAAAAAAAAAATCAGTCTTCGATAATCAAGGCTGCAGTTATATGATCTTCCAAACACAAGAAACATTGCTACTCTCTCAGCATTATCAACAAATTATGGCCAGAGTTTATCGATACAACATGGGCAACTTCGAAACTAGGTTATCGTTGGTGGGATGGCTGAATTAGCTGTTTCTATGTGATAGCATACAACAATTTAAATTATATCAAAGATATGTGACTGCACTATATTGGTGAGACTAGAACTAATTATTGATTTGATAATTGCTTAAACAGATCTTGCAGCAATTTTTGTTCCATCAGTAACCTCTTTAATATGGTTGTTTGACGAAATTCCACCAGTTTGGATAATTACTATATCAGTACTTTTGCTTGAGATTAAATTTTTGTTCTATTTTCGTGCTATCGAAGGTTTTGGGACTTATTTTGCAATTCTTATTGGAGTAGCAAAAAAAATTCTTGCATTTCTTATGGTATTGGGTTTAATTGTTTTTGCTTTTGCCCATTCTTTGCATATTTTGCTACGGCCAACTACCGACTATTCTTATGATCAACCGAGTGATACTGATGATATTAATAATCCATGGAATCTTGTTTCAACATATCAGTCTGGTTCATCCGATGGCAGCACAGTTCTTATTGAAACACCAGATGCAAATACAAACTTGTTTGCATCATTTGATACAGCCATTATTGCCGTATATTTTATGTTAACAGGTATTATACAATTACAATTCAAAAAAATACTTTATAAAATGAAATAATAATTTTGCTATTATATAGGAGATACGTCTGCAGTGGCACCATGGGTTTGGAGAGAAAATTGGACTTTAGTGATTTTATTAGTTATATTTTCATTTTTTACAACAATATATTTAATGAACCTGTTTATCGGATTACTTAATTTGGCAATTGACCTTGCAAATAATGAAAAATCTTATTTATTTTTAAAAGCAGAGGTACTGTATCAATTATATTCTAATATTATAGTTATCTACTATATATAATTAATTTTAATAACTATCTGATTTTGATTACCGTAGATATTATCTGAAATTGAACTTTTTTGGATGTTACCTTATCAAAGAAGAAAAAAAAATTGGTTTCCAGAGATCATGTAATTAATTTTAAATATTTGTTCATGCTTTATTTGACGTATAATAATTTATATATAAATTATTATTTCAAGATACTATGAAGCTTCGATTACTGAAATCCAAAAATATGCAACAAATGAAGATTATCAAATGGCTATACCAACTCTCTCATCGGCGATGTTAAAAATTGCAAATATTGAGGAAACAACGGATGTTAAGTTAGAAGTAATAAAATCAATGTTATATAAAATTTTACAAGATAAAGATGTATTAGATATATAGATGCTCAAGTTTTTAGAATATATATATAACTTTATTTTTTATATATATAAAATTAACAAGCTTTTTATAGTAATGTTTATAAATCTTAAATATAAAAAAACTATATTTTATAAATATTTTATAGATTAATTATATTAAATTTGATCAAAAAATGTTTCTATTTTTTTACATATACCAGGAACGTAGTGGATGGTTCAATTCGAGTTTTGCGTTCGTACACAAAATCTTAATTCTGATTGGATGTAGTGA